AACTGTTGTTCAGCGAGTCTGCTAAAAGAAATTAGAGAGAGATTGGATGCACACTGAGGAGTCCATCGATTGACATCATTTGCCAGGCTCCCGAATACGACTCGAATGGAAAACGGCGAGTTTGGTTCTTGAGAGTGATAAGGAGGTAACACGAGCCTTCACAGCTTCTTCACATAGTCTCCTTAATGTCACTTTTCAAACGGCCTCCACTCGGGGATTCAGGTAAACTAGGTAGTGGTCTCTTGGATGGTCTACTTGATTCCAGAGTTCGTCATTGCTTAAACTTTCTAACCACTTACAGGAGTGAAAACAGCTGCTGATGAAGACCTACAGCCTGTTTGAACCGCCTCCACCGATGATTTTGTCTCCCACAACGACACTTTGTTTTGAACTTTCGATCCAGGTATTTGTGTCAGATGCTGTGGAATTTCGTGTAGATTTCAGAATAATGAAATATTTTATCAGTAGCGATTGGTGTGGATCGAGCGAATTCATAATATTCCTGAAAATTTGCCACTTTTGCTTGTGTTTATTTTGAATTTTGAAAAATTAGACACAGATCATCCACAAAATCCTGGTTTTGTTGGTTCTTTTGGTTGGTTCAGTGTTTGCCTTTTTTGTCATTTTACAACCTGCTAGGTGATCCAGTTCACCACAGTTTATAAATATTGGAGACACTGTCCTATACAGAGTTGAAACAGTAGTCAAACCACTTTTCGAAAGATGTTTCGAAAGTGGAGTGGAAATTCTACTGTACTCCATGGTCTGTTTGATGGTGATACGCGATGTTGCGGTTAGATTACTAGAGGACTTGTTTTACTGAACTCCGTCTGTTCACAGTGATGGCTTAGATCCAAGGTATATTTTTGTCTTTCAGCTATGATTCGGCATAGTGTTGCTGTTCTGCTGTGCATGCATATGTATTTCTCTTTCTTCTGCTGTGTACGTACCTTTACTTTCACTCACACCTTTTGTATTTTGAATGTGAGCATGTCCGTTGGCGTATTTGGCCCCATTTGAAGTGCTTCTGGCCTGATTTCAGCTTATCTTAATCGATTTCCGGCTTTTAGTAAACTAACGGCAATCAGTAATTTTGGTTTCTGTAGGAGCTTTGCCACTTTCACTTTCAGAGTTCTAGTTTTTGTTAAATCATGCTTCCTAAGTTTAGTATCTGATTGTCTTCAAATTTTGCTTCATTCTGATGTTTTTGAGTGCTGATGTTGGCTAAAAGTGTTTCACTTAGGCCTACCAACTCTCCATCTTTGCAAAGCGCGGTTTCCAGTGTTTAAACCACTTGCCCGACACAATTAAGAAAATAAAATTCAAGACAGTGTGTTTGGACACGACTGGCTCTTCGGGATAAGAAAGAGAGTAAAAATAAGAGAAAAAAGAATTCGCAGAGGTATACGATGAGTAAGATGCAGTAAAGTTTTGAAAGAAAATCTGCCCGCTTCCAAAGACTGCCTAAAATATTTTTCGTGGTAATATCAGCAATATAATAAGCATCAACCCTGGGAATGTCAGTGTGTCTGTATGAATATATGGAAAGACATGGTTACTAGCAGACGCTGTGTGAAATTTTCGAAATCAGGCAACTAAAAGGTCGTTCATTTCATATGAGTTACGAACCATGCTCAAGAATATTTAGTTGGTATGATGGCTATTAAAACTGTGACTCCTACATTGGAGGTAGATAAGTGGGTAACTCCTTCTATATCTATATTTTTCATGCTAGATATAAAATACGTAGGGTGCTGTTTCCGATTAGCGGCCTAATGATCCGGAAAACTGAAAAAATGTTAAACTGATTATGGTTTATAACAGTTCACTCTAATTCTGACACCATGAACATCAAAGAGTGAATGCACACACATGGGAAATAATCTCCCATTTCCAGATATGCAATGGGTTCTAATCTAGCGTACGCAAAAGGACTGCTTCATTTTGATAACGCCATCCTTACACACTATTTAGATAAATTGGAGGGAGGGGGTTATTGATAAACGGTACAGTCTATACAGTTCCAGTTGCAAGTGTAGACAGTAACGGTGGGTAGCATTTCATAAAATATATGATAAACAGGAGTAGAATCTCTTAAACGACTTATTCTACGTTATTCTCTTCATTTTATTATTTTATCTTTAGGGCACAAATATTTTAGTAAGTACACATGGTTGAATAATTTTAGTTTTTTACAAGAGTATAAGACGCAACTGTCAGCTTTATAAGAATTTCTATTTTGTACTTTACATATTTAAAACTACTGAAGATTATCGATTCATGTTTGACTGAAATTAGGGGTGGTTAGCTTGTAAAATCACTCATTCTTGTTAAGGCTGCAAGTAATATAGCATCTTATTACAAAAATATGTGACCGAGAAGTGTGAGGTGATTTAAATCAACTAATTGCAATAATCCGAATTCGCGTTTCTATGGCACAACTGTCGTCAAGCCAAACCAGCCAATGGTGACGTTGTTGAAATATCTCAGAAATCATACTGAATTTTAGGTTCGTGAAAACCAGAATGAATAAAAGAATGGAAGTTTGAATGGAGCCCGACTGACAATAACTCAGTAAATACCTCATATCATAGCTGTCCAGCATTGTGAATAACTACCATGCTTAGTCGACATCAGGGCTTATCTTAGTATTTGAAACAAGAAGATGCGTAGCAAATGGAAGGAAATGACACATACACATAAAATCATCAAAGATATGTAATCGGCTAACTACCAATCTATGTTTTACTAACGCTAATGAAAGCTGCGAATGGATTAAATTTATTTCAAAAGTAATTTTTTATCCCATGATATATATACAATATTTGTTTTTCAAAAATGAAGATCAAACTGAAGGTAAAGGAAAGAGTAAGTCTCATACCTAACGAGATTTGATTTCGTAAGTGAAACGAAAGGTCCGATAATTCCTTTCGTTTCTTGACGTACACACATGGAATTTCAGTTGAACATACTTGACATTATTTTGCCTCTTGAACTGCACATACAGGATGAGATATCTGGTATCATAGTGGCAAGAGATGAAAACAGAATCACAGTCATATCACAAACCAACACGATACTTCCGAAACCCAAATGTCTTTGTGTTTCCCTAAGTTATGTCAAAAAAATTAATCCATTTTGCAAATAAACCCCATAGAAAATCGAAATGTTGACTAGCACCATAATGAAATGTCTGTGTTTTTCTAATCATAATCTCTGCAAGTATTCAAACTGGTACAGGTTTCCCAAAACTTTGTTTCTGGCTTTACTCGTTTATTCCTCCTAATAGTGAATTGTTCAACAAATCGTACACGAATGTTGATCCTCACATTCACTTTCATAGCCGAGTAAATCACATTAACAGTTTAAAGTGTATACAATCTGGAGATGAACGTTCTGCTTACAGTATCAAAGATGCTATGCCTTATTCTAGTAGCTTCAAAGAAACAATAAGAACTGTTTCACAGGTTGTAGTTGAGAATTTCTTAACCGCAGCTAGTGTAAAACTGCAATTGTCGGAAAATATTAAGCAAATAACAATATTGCACATAGATGAATTCTCAGATAAATTGGGTGGTTACCGAGAAAACGGAGGAGTCTACATAGTTTCAATTGCGAGTGTATACAATACTAGTGAGTAGCATTTCATATAATACAGCATAAGTAGGAATGAAATCTCCTAAACGACGTTTTCTGCTTTCTTGTTTCCATTTTATGATTTCATCTTCAGGACCGAAATATTATAGTATGTACACATAACTGAATAATTTTCGTTTATTTTTTCAAGAGTATAAGACGCAAATGTCAACTTTATCAATTTCTACTTTGAACATTGCATATTTGAAACTACTGAATATAATCGATTCATGTTTGACTGAAATTAGTGGTGGTTGGCCTATAAAATCACTCATTCACGTTAAGTGAATTATAATCACAGAAATTCTTTGGAACGGAACGGTAGAGAAATGCTCACCTCAGAGATACACTTACGCTCGCAAACAGTTAAGCAGAAGAAGCCTGCTAAGGCTTGTTTCTGTAAGTGTGGAATTTGAGTACTTATTGCTCATAATCATAATAGTTTTAGTCACACGGTTTCACAATTAGTCTTATATATACATTTTCTCTTCATTTCGTCTCTTCAACTTCCCTTTGTTGCCACTTTCTGTATCTCCAGTATGGGCGTTCCGTTATTCCTATTGCACGTGTGTGGTGCTGAGTGGATAAACAAAGCTTCAGTGATTAACCCCTTTCTTTCTATTTCACCCTGTCCACCCCAATTTGGTGATTACACGCAAATGAACGCAGTGTAATGGATGAGCTGTTATCTAGGTTATCAAACTTAGCCAGGTCAATTATTCTAAGTCTAGCTAAAATTTTATGTTCCAGTAATCTAGTTGACCCCGATCTACTCGTTTGAGTCATATGCATGGTAATGATTGTGAGAAATATATAACTTATGCACGAAACGTCACCCAGTTGTTAACACTGCTGCGATGTATGATATTTAAAACAAAGTTATCTAATATGAAAAGTCTTGTGCCTACCAAATGTCGCTTTAATGGGTCTTCTATTCATGCTTAACACGTCACAGCACTCTTGTTGTACATGTTTTACTGTTGCTCACGCTTTTGTATTAGTACAACATCGATTCCCTTATTCTCACAGTATGATTATAGTTACATTTAACTATAAAGGAGGTGTAAAATACGCCTTTCTAAATATGATTAGTTTTGGATCGAATCAATACAATGCAGATTTGGTGTTTCTTGAGTGATTTTCATAGGTAGACTGTCCATTCAGACTGTTCAAAAGTATGAACGTAGATATTATAACGAACGCATTCCTCTATTCTAGTTTAACTTACATTATGAGGTATTATAATTATTTTTTGTTCCCTTGGGTTCCTAGTGGAACATAGGGCTTCAACTGCACGCCTCCACTTGCTTCTGTCTTCTGCTGTACTTTTCACTTGCATCCATGTTAATCCATACTGTTTCAATTCCTCTTCACACGATCTCCTCCATGTCACCCTTGCACTGACGTCCCACTCGCCGCTTCCCTTTCGGGTTCCACTCGAGCACTGGCCTGACGCGCGATGTCACCCAGCGGCCTCCTCAGCGAGTGTCCAATCCATCTCCACTTTCTCCTGCATATTTGTTGGGCGATTGGTTCTTGTTTTGTTTGTTCCCATAGTTTCTTGTTGGTGATTCTTTCCGGCCATCTGATCTTCAGTATAGAACGAAGACAGTTGTTGATAAAGGTCTGCAACAGGCTGTTGGAAATATTCTTTGTGACCCGCCAAGTTTCTGATCCGTATAGAAGAACTGACTGACTTGACGTTTGTATTGAAAATCCGAATTTTGTTGTTGATGCTGAGTGACGAAGATTTCCAGATTGGTTTCAGGTTGATGAATGTGTTTCTCGCCTTCCCGATTCTCGATTTGACATCCTCGTCCGTTCCTCCTGTAGTTGAGACAATGCTCCCTAGATAAGTGAAAGAAGTAACCTCTTTCAAATCCCTCCCGTTGATGGTGATTGGCGCTGGATGTTGCTGCTGTTGTTGTTGGTTGTTTATTTTCATAACCTCCGTCTTGTCTATGTTCACCTGGAGTCCTGTCTTTGCTGCTTCTTCGACCAGTTTGTCGGTTTTCGCTTGTAAGTCTTCGATTTTGTGTGACATCAAACATAAATCATCCACGCGCGAAATCCAGGTCTTCTAGGTTCTTCACGTCGGTCCAGGTTATCCCTGTCTTCTCGTTTCCCACTGTCTGACGCATAATCCAGTCCACCACAATTAGGAATATCATTGGTGATAATAAGCACCCTTGTCTGACTCCTGTGTTTACTCCAAACGCTTCGCTGAGTTTTCCGTTGTGGATCACTTGACATGTGCCGTTGTCGTACAGCTGTTGAATAAGGTTGATGAATATTTGGGGTACGCCGTAGTACTCGAGTAGTTTCCAAATTACTTCGCGGTCAACGCTGCGCTGTCGAAGGCCTTCTCAAAGTCTATGAAGTTGAGGTAGAGATTTGATTGCCATTCCATGCTTTGTTCGATGATAATGCGTAGAGTTGCAATTTGGTCAGAACATGATTTGCCTTTCCTGAATCCAGCTTGTTCTGGTCGGAGTTCTGTATCCAGTGCGTCCTTGATTCTCTCCAGGATGATGCGACTCAGGATTTTACTTGGCGTCGACAGGAGCATGATTCCTCGCCAGTTCTTGCAGAGTCCTAGGTCGCCCTTCTTTGGTAGTTTCACGAGGTAACCTTTCCTCCAGTCAGTAGGCACCTTTCCCTCTTTCCAGATCTTTTGCAATAATGGAGTCAGCATATCTGCCGTCGTTTCTGGGTCCGCTTTCAGTGCTTCCGGGGGTATTCCATCTGGTCCAGCTGCTTTTCCAGCTTTCAGAAGCTTGATTGCATTCATGACTTCAGTTTTCGTTGGAGGATTGGTGTCAACTTGCAGTTGTGTACGTGCTGTTGTTGGTATTTCTGGACGGGTTGTAGGTGGTGGTCGGTTCAAGAGTCCTTTGAAGTGGTCCGCCCATTGTTTAATCTGTCTTTCTTCTTTGGTAATTGGGTTCCCTTGGCTGTCTTTTATAGGTTTCACTTGTGTTGATCTCTTCCCGGATAGAGACTTGGTTATCTGATATAGTGTCCTCAGGTCCCTTTTGCCTGCTGCCTTCTCAGCTTCAGTAGCCAGGTTGTCGTAGAATTGTCTTTTGTCCTTCCTGGCACTCTTCTTCACTTCTTTGTCCAGTGCTGTGTAAGTTGAGTTCAGCGTCTCTTTCTCTTGTCCATCTTTGCATTGAATCATTTTCTCTTTCACCATTCTCCTCTCCTCTATTAGTTTCCAAGTGTCTGTTGAGAGCCATTCCTTGTCTTGTTTCTTCTTTCTTCCTAAAACCGTTGAGCACGTTTCGTTGAAAATCACCTTCAGAGAGTTCCAATGGTCTTCCACGGATGATTCCTCAGTGGTGCCACGTAGTGTTTCCTGCTTTGCTCTGACAGTTGCAGTGAAAATGTCCTGTGTGATTGTGTCCTTCAGTTTTTGAGTGTTGAACTTGCATTGTGGCCTATCCCCAGGTATCCTCGAGGCTTTTAGCTTCACCTTGAAAGTCCCTTGTACTAGATAGTGGTCTGAACCCACATCTGCTCCTCTCCTCGATCTTGTGTCCAGTAGGCTCCGTCTCCACTTCCTTGAGATTGAAATGAAGTCTATCTGGATTTTGGTGTGTCCATCTGGTGAAATCCATGTTGCCTTGTGTATATCCCTGTGTTTGAACACACTGCCACCAATCACCAAATCATTGAAGGCGCAGAAGTCTGAGAAGAGTTCACCATTTTCGTTCATTTCACCGAGGGCCTCACGACCCATGGTGAGTTCTCTTCCTGTATTGTCTCCTCCCAGTTTCGCATTCATGTCGCCCATCAGGATTTTGATATCGCTCTTTGGGACGTTGTCCATTACTGTTTGTAGTTGACTGTAGAAATCCTCCTTCTTCTCTTGTTCTGAGACGTTTGTAGGCGCGTAGCACTGAATGATTGTAACCTTCCTTCCTTTTGAGTTGAACCTGGCTGTCATTATCCTGGAGGAGATTGGTTCCCACTGCATGAGAGCTTTGGCCGCTGTTGGTGACATCATGATGGCTACTCCCTCGGTGTGCTCGTGATCGTCCTCTGGGTGACCGGAGTAGATTATTGTCTCTCCAGTTGGTAGTTGGCACCTTCCGCATCCGTTCCATCTGCTCTCGCAGATTCCCAACACTTCTACTTTATATCTCCTCATTTCTGCGGCTACCTGAGCAGCCTTCCCAGCTTCGTACATTGTACGAATATTCCACGTCCCCATCCTTATTTTTGCTTTCATCGAAAGAAGGCACATCGGCTGACTGGCTTCCCGAAGGCTTTCACCAGCCTGCGTCATTTCACTTCCCCGATTCCAGCGAAAATTAAGGTTATTGTTTGTATTTTTAGAATTTTTAATATGTTTGTGCGTTGAAGTTTTTGTAGCAGTTTGGTTAAGTTTTGGGGGTGGAGTTGCTAGCACCACGCCCCAACCCTCCCTCTTTATCCGGGCTTGGGACCGGCTAGAATACTAGTGACCTAGTAATCTAGGCGAGGTTTTAACAAGATGAACGTAAATATTATATCGAATCGATTCCTCTATTCTAGTTGGACGTATAAGTACAGAGTATTCAAAGTTAATATTCGTCAGAACTTCTTTTGCTTATCACGTGTGAGGGATTCCACAAGGCTGCAAGTAATATAGCATCTTATTACAAAATTATGTGACCAGGAAGTGTGAGTGATTTATATCAGTCAATTGTTGATAAATATGTAGGATAGTACAGTCATGAAAATAAACTAAGCAGTAAACCCGGGAGAAGTATTCACTTTGACAGTATAAATGATTTTTCAACTCCAATAATAGGAATTTGCGTCTCTATGGCATAATTGTCGTCAAGTCAAAGTAGTCGAGGCGAATTATCACAGAAATCGAGTAGAATCTCTGATCTCTGCAAACCAATATGAATAAAAGAATGAAAGTCTAAATGGAAATCAACTAACAATGATGGCTTATCTCTAAGATGTCTGGCATTATGAATAACTACTATACTTTGTCGACATTAAGGCATACCTTAGTATTTGAAACAAGCAGACGGGTAGCTAATGAAAGGAAATGACACATACTTAAAATCATCAAAGATATGTAATCGGATAACCACCGATCTATGTTTTACTAACACTACTTAAAAGCTGCGAATGGATTAAATTTATTTCAAAAGTAATTTCTCATTCTATAAGATATGCAATATTTGTTTTTCAAAAATGTAGGTGAAATTGGTGTCAATGGAAAGAGTAAGTCTCATATCTAAAGGGATTTGATGTCGTGAGCGAAATAGAAAGCCCAGTCATTTCTTTTGTTACTTGACGTACACATACGGAATTTGATTTCGGCACACTTGACATTATTTTACCTCTTAAACTACATATTCAGACTCAAAATGCCGAGAGATGAAAACAATATCGGAATAATTTCACAAACCAATAGGAGACTTTCGAAAGCCAAATGCCTTTGTGTATCCCTGAGTTATATCAAACAAATTAATCCATTTCGTAAATGAACCCCATCACAAATGAGACTTCTGACTACCGCCATTAAAATAATTCCTGAAAATGTTTAATCTTAGGCGAATTTCACAAAACACTGCTCGTCGTTTCATAGGTTTACTTGTATTACTGATGAAATATTCAACAAATCACACTGGAATGTCAGTCCTAACATCAGTTGTCATAACACAGTGAATCAGAATAACACTTTGAAGTACACACAACGAAGAGATGAAAGTCCTGCCTACAATAACAAAAATGGCATGGTTCCGAAGAATCAAGACTAAATGTTTCACAAGTTGAGGTTGACAATTTCCCAACCATAACTGATGTAAAAAAGCGATTTATCGTCATAAATAAACAAATAAAAAAACTTATTTAACTGCCAAATTTAATCGCGAGGGTCACGATGATTTCTTTGATGAGGAATATTTAGTCCGTTGTGCGTAGGTGGCACAGTGGTTAGGACAGTCGCCAACCATGCACATGGTCCTGGGTTCGATCCCCTGCCGACGCACACCTGATATCTATGGTCGGCCTGCAGCATTTGGGCTACCGATATCACATGCTGAAAATTCCATGCCTGTACCAAAAAACACGGTGTGGAATCAAGCTGTAATCAAAAATATAAAAAATAAGGAGTACAGAAACAGATAAACGTCAGTTAAAATCAATGACAATAACATACTCGCCTTCAAAGTTAACATTAGTGATTCGACAGTAGTTATGATCACTTGAGATCATGAAAGCTAATGAACACCTGAAAGGAAGTCCGTATCATGAAGATAATAGGCCTGGTATTATGTAGTCAGTAAAAAGCTATTTACAAGAATTTCTTATCCTACAAATTCCTCAGAGTGAGTGATACTGAATAACTTCTGGACGGTTGGTTCGTTGCCTAATATCAAGAACTCTTGCATGATATTCGGCACCAGTAAATCACACAAATCATTTTATTCCAGGAGTTAGATATTTTGGTCTGGAAATGTAACAATTCATGAATCATCCAAGTAACATAATGTTTCTTCTGATCTGATCTGTGAATGCAAGCTTACTCAATCTGCGAAGGTACCAAGTAAAACATAGGATTGAGGGTTCCACACCTCATGAAAACTATTTACAGACGGATGATCAGCAGCATCGGGGTCACAAATATCTTTTTGAATATTATGGAACACTATTCATAAAACTCTCCGATCCATCTAAATAAATGACAGAGTGGTTTCTTATTTATACATATTTGGCCACCTGAAACAGGCCCAGTCTAAACGACTGCATTCCACAGGCACAGATATTATAGTTCAGAATAGCTTAGGGAATTATATATTCAATGAAATAAGACGAAAGAACAACCAAGACATTTAAAGCAACAATTCGCACGATTCTCTTGGTGCTGGATGCCTAAAACATCATTCATGGTAGTTTTGTATTATTAAGTCGTGTGAAGTTAAACTTGGAATAATACCGTGTGATGTTTTCTAATTTCTCCTAATGAAATTCACTCAGTAGTTTCTTCATTTCCAGACATAAATTGTCGCAATCGTGCCACGTAGGTCTGACACTGTACAGTGCTTATTGTTTTGTAATTTTACCTGTTGTGTTCACATAAAATTCGTGACGTTAGATGCAGAATTTTGTTCTCATTCAGTTGTCGTTTGATTTAAACACATACCAGCGAGTTCAAATAAACAGCTCAACAAAGCACTGTTAGCAGGGATAATGCTGAGAATAAATCTTCCTCAGTTTATCCGCTGGTGCTTCACTGTTGGCCCATTCGTCGTAGTCTAAAGCGGTGAAATCACTTTTAGATTAAATGTTGCTAAATACTTAACAAACTGCCTTCACTACCTTTTTGAGATTTTCAACTCTGATATCAGAAGCTTTATTTATCGAATCAACGGCAAATACGTGTGTGGTGAGAGATGGTTGCTAGCCAAATTGGTTAACAGTAACTGAGGTCAATGTTAGTCATGTGAAAACAAGGTCAAGATGGACAGGCGGATACAGTTAACATATAGATGAACTGACACAGCCACAAGAGATGCAAGGTTAACTTTGTGTGAGAATCAACCAATCAACAGACTGTATTTTCTACTAACATTAACCTACAATAATGTTCATCAAAATCTATAAATATGTGTTGATTTTCCGTAATAAACGTTCTGTTGCCTGGCGCTTGTTTTCTGTTGTTACACGTGTAATATGAATAATTCAACACCTGTCCAATCAGACGTCTGGAAATTTCTACTACCCCTCTGCGACAAAAAGCAGAGAATAAAGAAAACTATGAAACGAAAGTTTCAAAGTTGTGTGCATATTCAAATGAACTGTCGTCAAGATTTGACAGAATAGTTCTAAAATATTTGGGCGCCGAGTGAGAAGTAGACATTTGTAAAAAAATTATATTTGTAATATCTCAGCGATATTGAAATGAGTAATTCCAACGTTTAGTTCGGCAATCTGGTCCGAACTTCTTCAGGGAAATTAATCAAAATTAACATAACAGAGGTTTTATATATAAAAGGCACATCTTTTTGTTTTTAAAAACTTTGTCCAATCATGATTCATAAACACAAGTATTAACAAGTATAATAAACAAAATTGTATGAGCTGTGATCAAAATTTGACCTCGGACTTACAAATATTGGTCTACCTTTGTTAAACACTTTAAACAGAGTGTGTATGTGTGTGTGTGTAAACAGTTGTAAAACATTTCTTAACGTCTCCACAAGA